TAATAAAGCTGCTGCCTAATTTCAACCTGAACAGCGGCTTTTCTCATGCCGACAGTCTCCTCGCTTCCCACACCCTTCGCTTTCTCCTGTACACCGGCCACCCTGCACACAGTCCGCCCGATCCTCCGACCTGACCTGACCTCTCTTCGCTTCCGTTCGTCTGTCCTCACCTGCCCCGTGTTACCGTGTTGCCTCTCCTCTCTCTCTTTTATACCCCCTCCTCTCCCTTTCCTCTTCAGACCTGAGGACTTTCAGACTTTCAGTAAATCTAATTTTACATTGTGGGTTTTTTTATCATATATATATATATACATATATATATATATATATATATATATATATATATATATATATATATATATATATATATATACACACATATGTGCGTGTGTGTGTTTATGTATATATGGAAGTATACATACAAATATATAGATAGACAGTTATAGATATAGATGAATAGGTAGACCCCTTTATACATGGTTATTCTTGAGGCGAAGGCGGAGAACAGAGGTGACCGTGACGATGATAGTACTCAGACACCGTTTCTATCTTTCACAGTCAGGAAGAAAGAGAGGGAGAATAAGAGAGGCAAACAAAGCTAGAATGGTATTCAGTCAGGCAGACATATAACCACATAAGCAAAGAGGTAGACATAAACAACAAGACAGACTGAAAGAAAGCGAACAAACACACACATAGATATCCAAACAAATACACATATAGCTAGACAGACGGCTGAATAAACAGGTAAATAGACAGACACAGACAGAGGTAGACAGCAACACCCACGACATAACTAAATGGAAACGACCTTCGGATAATCAACAATTTTCAATATGTGATATTATTTTTTTTTTTACATTAATAATTACAAGCTCAGTCACATTATACGAACTTAATAAGGATGATGAAGAAAGCTACGCAATTAGTCGATGAAAATTGTTGATACATGGAAATTGGCCACTGTTATAAATAGGATACTTGATTCATTAAAAATTGATGTATTGTTTCACTTCGTTTAATTCTTTTTTTCAGAAATTACAAATCTTTCTCTCTCTCTCTCTCTCTCTCTCTCACACACACACACACACACACACACACACACACACACACACACACACACACACACACACACACACACACACACACACACACATACTCTACCTGTCTACCTATCTACCTAACCAAATTACACATCTCTCTATCTCTATCTATCTATCCATCTGCTTAACCAAATCTCTCTCTCTCTCTCTCTCTCTCTCTCTCTCTCTCTCTCTCTCTCTCTCTCTCTCTCTCTCTCTCTCTCTCTCTCTCTCTCTCTCTCTCTTTC